ACAGAAAAAAGACATGGTTTGGTAATGTAAATCTAAAGAACAGTGTAAATACTTTAAATATAAACACAACAGTCAATGCGTGATGTTACCCAGAGTCATGTAGAATTCACAAAGAATAAATAGGCATTATAAACGGTTATGAATCTAATTAATGAATTTTATGAGACAGAGCAAATACTAAAAATTATGGTGAACAATAAATTTCTAGAATAAGCACATTGCTCAAACTTTGATCACATGAAAATTTTATCAAGAGAAGCTTTTCTAAAAGAATGCATTTGCCAATTACTGGTAGATACAAATTTCACAAGGTGAAACCACAAACAGAAATAAAGAACAAAGTTTCATTTTGACTCGCACATTCAATATGAGAATAAAGATTAATGCAGAAATTATGCAAACAGAAATAAGTGACAATACCATACAAATACTTGATTAAAAGATTTCAAATTTATGTAGGAATGAAGGGTTAAAATTACCAGACCACTATCCATTCCAAAAATAAAGATAAATTTTGGTTATGTATTGTGTCAGATATGTATTGTAAGATTGTTACAGGAAGGTTTTGTCAAATTTTTGAATCATCAGTACCAACAGAAACTTAACTGGGATGGTTTGTTTCAAAACACATGCAATGCATCAGGAACATTTAATATTATGCATAATTCAAAACAACTACAACAAACTCAACTACATTTCTAAGGAATTTTTTTCTCAATGCATTATATTTTCTTAAGTTTTATACATTTTACTTTTTTATATTATGCAATAAATAGAAATAAATTGTAATTCAATAGAAATTTATTTATTATATATATATATACAGTGGAGTGGATGGACAAAAATATGGAAACACCTTGTGAAATGCACGTTTGAAAAGATAGATTGATTTTAATAAAATATGTAGGTGGCGCTGGCATTTTTTACTACTGACGCCACCTATACAACTTCGTAAATGTGGTAAACAGTTCAGTTGTTGTCGGAGTACAGTTATGTGAGGTTGTCATTGCATTATGTCAGAGTTAAGAGACTTCGAACGTGGGCAAAGTGTTGGAGCACGTATGGTAGGTGCTTCCGTAAGCAAGGTAGCCGAGGTGTTTAGTGTTTCAAGAGGTACTGTATCAAAGATTTATTCCGCATATTTGAAAAGCGGAAAAATATCATCTGCCTAAATCACAGCGCGGACGAAAAGTGTGTCCTGAGTGATCGTGACAGATGATCATTAAGGGCAATTGTGACGAAAAATAAGAAGACCACAGCTGCAAAAGTTACTGCTGAAATGAATGTTGTGTTATTAAACCCTGTGAGTACCAAAACAATTAGAATTAGAAGGAAGCTTCATAAACAGGGAATTGCTGGCCGTGCTGCAATTGAGAAGCCACTCATCAGTGATGCTAATGCCCGTAACAGGAAAGGTGGTGTTTAAGTCATAAAGCCTGGACTACAGAGCAGTGGAAGCGAGTAATATGGTCTGACGAGTCTTCTTTCACATTGTTTCCCACTTCTGGCCGAGTTTACGTTTGAAGAACGCCATCTCAAGCCTATAATACAGACTGCTTGTTGCCAAGAGTGAAACATGGCAGGGTTCTGTTATGGTTTGGGCAGCCATATCGTGGTTCTCTGCTAGCCCCATGATAACTGTGTCAGGGCACATGACTGCCAAGACTTATGTGAACATTTTGGCCGATCAAGTTCATCCCATGGTACAAACTTTGTTCCCCGATGGTGATGGTGTCTTCCAAGACGACAAAGCCCCTGTTCACACAGCTCACATTGTCCAAGGACTGGTTTTCTGAGCCCGAGGATGAGTTGTCCCATCTCCCCTGGCCCCACAGTCACCAGACCTGAATATTATCGAACCTTTGTGGTCTACATTGGAACGGAAAGTGCGTTCTCGTTATCCACCGCCAACATCATTATCTGAACTTGCCACCGTTTTGCAGGAAGAATGGTAATGGTAATATTCCCTTGGCAAACATACAGGAACTGTATTTATCCATTCCGAGAAGACTGCAAGCTGTTTTGGATGCCAACGGGTTTCCTACACCATATTACGCAAAGAAACATGTTTTTTTAAAGGTGTTTCCATATTTTTGTCCAACTCCTGTATATATATATATATATTGTGATAACATCTGAAATTGGTTTTTCTGACAGCTTAGTTTCTCATGATAAAAATCTATATAAAAAATCTTTTCTATACAGAAAAAATGCATATTTTAATTCCTCAATGTATATGGATTTAAAACATGCAAAAACACAATTTTTGAAACGATTTCGCTCTACAAAATTGAGCAGTCAGAGAATAAAATAATATAACAATTGAAATTTCTGCAAAACCTGGATAACCAATATCACCTCATGTCCTAGAAGTGTTTAGTATTTTTATAAACTCAAAACTTTTGGCGAAAATTTAGCGACCAACCCGCTACAGCAACCTGCTAGTTTTGTTTGGGATGCCATTTTATTCACGAACAGTAAAGGATGTTTTTTTTTTTTTTTTTTTTTTTTTTTTTTTTTTTACTCAACATTTTTTCAAACAATCTGCAAATTAGCTTATACTAGAACTTTTATGGAACAAAAATGGTAATTGACAAAGATTAGGTGCAAAATGGGAGGAAGTGCAGAACACCACTGCTTGCCGCGTTTTTAAGAATTGCACATACACGGATAATCCATGCAACGTCGACTATTTTCACTTAAAAAAACATCGCAGATTGCACAAAAAGGCATTGCACACAAATATGTACACTGCTAAAGTCCTAGCTAGTAACCTTTATCGCCTTACCAAAATGTCGCCAAACTACCTGTTACCATATTCCAAAGATTAGCCAAGGATGATTTTGTCAATCTCGCTAAAGCATCAAACACCGGACAAATTTGGTTTGGCACTGCTGCTTGCCCTTAGAACAGGGCAATAAGGTAATTACCATAGGAGTTTATTTCAGACATGAGGATATTTTCTATACCTTTCTCAATCCAGCTTAAAAATATTTTCATACTGTTCATACAAATTCATTGCTAAAAATTTTACTCGAGTGGTGTACTCGAGCCTCTTTTACCCTAAACTAAAATTATCAGGTAAAGGTGATTTATTGTCAACCCAAGTTAAGCAAATTTCATACCGACCATCATTACCATACTGTAACGACTTCTAAAAAATGTTCTTTGGTCTGAGGATCAACCTCATGTTTGGATTTCTTTTCTATAGGATCACTGACCTATTCCTACTAAATAAAATCTCTATACACTTGACACTTCAGCTTCATTTATAAACACTAATGCCACTGCTATGTTTTCATTGGAGGCTTTTTCTACTGGTACCTTTCCCATTAATATTGGCTCTAAACAAGTTTCTACAGGAATGACACCTGAAGACAAAATCTTCCTATTTCCAGTTAGTAACATTCCCATTATGACGCCTCTGACAAGAATATGGATGGTTTCACAATTAACTGTCAGTCAAAATTATGTCATTTTCTTATAGCTCTCTAATCCAAGAGCGTTTACACACAGGCCGAATATTATCAGAGATTGTAGCTTGATCCAGAACATCTAAAGTACAGGTAAACTTTTCATTTTAACTTCTCAACCTTATTTCATAGCAATTATGCTTAAACTCATTAGTTAAAACACCTCCGAAAATGAGCCATACTTTCTTTATGAATAAGCAAATGATTTATTTCTTTTGCTTTGTTCTTATACGAAGCTGAATCTAAAAGTAATCTCAGTCTTCTGTTTACAATCAGATATAAGCTTAGCTTTCAGAGTTTGAAGAAACACTCTAAATGTATGTCTTTTGTAATCAGAGAAATTAACTTCACCCTCTATCGGCTTTTCTTTATTTTTCTTTATTTTTTTTTTTTTTTTATTTTTTTTGTATCAAGCACATCACACATTAAAGGCACATACTTTTCAGAATACATCAAGCACTTTAGGAAAACATTTTTTTAACGTATGACCTGGAACAAGTATAACAGCAAAGTTTTTTCTTCAAAATGTTTTGCTTCTACAATAAACTCATTTTTACGCAGAAAAATAATCAGAACTCAAATGTTTACCCTCACAAAAAATGCAGGATTTCGTAGCTTTGGAAACAGAAACAGTTGTCAATAACCCTGCAGCTGTCGGTGTCTTGTTACATAAATATTCTGCACTAGAATGCTTCTTTTTCACCGGTTTATTATCTTGATTACTTGCCTAGACCACTACAGCTAAGCATATTCTTTGTTCTCCCTCAAACTCCAATTTTCTTTTTGTTCCTTCTGTTTTTAAATAAACACTGGTTTAACTTTTTATTCCTAAAAAAAATCTTGCCATTTCTGATCGAACAACCAGCTTTATTAGTCAAACTTACAGGATAACTGAAAAACATTTTACGCATGTGCATCTTCAAGCATGGATATTTTATGTACGAGGTTTCTTTATATTTTTTATTGATATTATGTTGGGAGCATAGCAACGCAAATACGTTACAATATAAGGTCTGCACCTTTACGAGCTCATTACCATCTTTACCTGGAACAAGCTCAGCAATGCAGCCTAAAGGCCAGTTAATTCTCTTTTTATTATCAGTTCCCACTAGAACAATACCACCCACAACCATTGTGCGTCTTAGTCCCCCCTCGCTAAATGAGTTCTAGAACATTCTAAAACTTGAACATCTATCACTTTTGCCATATACAAATTACTAAATTATACTAGCAAACTCTAAGTGAGGCCTCCTCATAAGCCAGGAAATATTTAAAAAAAAAGGTAAAATAATGTATTCTTAACAAGTTATAAAATTTTACACTACACGTATGTCATTTTGTATCAAAGCACAGAATACAAATATGCCATATAATGAAACACAGACTTTTACAAACAAGCATTTGATTCATAAAACATTTTCTATATTTATATGTTTTCCATGTTTGTAAATACACAGCTTTAATGTTAACACATAACCAAATAAAAAAGCTTGAAAATGTGTTAAAACAAGTTGTACATGTTCTTACCTTTCCAGATACAGACTCCCCATCATAAAAGACATAGTGACGTTCTTTCTTCCCATCTTCTGTTTTAATATCAGCCATTTTTCTAGAATCGGCTCCATCCAAAACAATGTCAATGTCCGCATTTTGGCCAAAACCAAACAAGCTCTATTAAAAGAAACAGAAAATAGAACAGAAATATATTTCATAAGGTATCAATAATAGGAATTTTTAACAGTGATAAAAACCATGCTTAATATCTTATACTTAACACTTACGTGTTAAAAATATTGGTTGATCTTTGGATTATGGTAACTTGGCGATTTTTTGGTGAAAATTTGGCGACCAACTCTGCTACAGCAACCCTCTATTTTTTTTTCCGCCGCCATTTTGTCTTCACGAAAGTAAAGACATGTTTCTTTTCTTTAATTTACTGAACACTTTTTCCAACAATCTACTAGCCAAATTACACTTATACTAGAATTTTATGTAACAAAACTGCTTAATCATGACAATATTAACTGCAAAATTGGGAAAAAGTGCACAATCGCAAACTCCTTGCGCGTTTTTCAGAATAGCACATACACATAAAACCATTTACAGTCGACTTATTTTTACTTAAAAAAAACATCCCCAGAATTGCACAAAAATGACATTGCACGCACACTCTTAACTTTATCCATCTACACTGCTATTTTCTCATAAATTACAAAAATTTGCACGAAAATGAAAAAAAAATTCTTCTGAAATCTTTAAACTCGGTAAAAAGCCCATACATGAAATTACCTGATCGCGAAAAAGTATATACCCTTTCCAAGATATAAACATTTCCACGTATAAAATAAAAAAATATCCAAAAACTTTTTACCTCTAAATTATCTATTATATTATAAACGTCACCAACGAATTCATACCGCAAACACATTACAAATGGTTACAAATACTTAGTGTCAAATATTTAAATTACTTTCCATACAGGTTTACTTCAACTCAAACGTATACCAAATTTCTACAAACATAAAATTCACAAAATAACTATCATTTAATTAAAATATTACTAAACCATGTACACGTCGACTTATTTTACTTAAAAAAAAAAATCCCCAGAATTGCACAAAAAAATGGCATTGCGCACACTCTCACTATATCCATGTACACTGCTTTTTTTCTCATAAATTAGAAAAATTTCACGAAATGCATGACAAATTTTGTGAATCTTTAAATCCGGTAAAAAGAACATATATGAAATTACCTGATCGCAAAAATGTATATACCCTTTCCAAAGATGAAATTTCCACGTATAAAAATATCCAAAAACTTTTACCTCTAAATATCTATTATATTATAAACGTCACCAACGAATTCATACCGCAAACATACAAATGGTTACAAATACTTAGTGTCAAATATTTAAAGTTACTTCCATGCACGTTTACTTCACTGAAATGTATATCAAATTCCTACAAACATAAAATTCACAAAAGAACTATCATTTAATTAAAATATCACTAAACCATGTACGTCGACTTATTTTTACTTAAAAGTATTTATAAAAAAAATCTCAGAAATTGCACAAAAATGGCATTGCGCACACTCTTCACGATAGCCATGTACACTACTTTTTTTCTCATAAATTAGAAAAATTCACGAAATGCATGAAAATACTCAACGTATTCTACTCAACGGATTCCAAACTACAAACATATAACTCACAAAATCCGATCATTAAATTAAATATAATTAATTAAAAAAATACTTCTTTAAATAGCTCATACATTAAATTAATAAAAATTAGATTACAATCCTAATTACTTTAAACTAAATCATTGCTAATAACAATTTTCCAATAATATATTAATTTTATTTACTCCTTACATTTAGAACAATGCATAAAAAAATATCCTCAAATGATTAAAAATACTAACTTACCTAATCTTCAGAATCTTCATTACGTGGCACGCACACTTCCACTATTTCACACAAACACACAATGAAGCTTAATACAAAATAATACTGTACTACAGTTTTCCAAATTCCCCTCCCTTTTCCGATTAAAGAACTGTAATTCGTCCATTAATGTCACATGACATATCTCACGATCTCTCATTTCCCTCACACAAAATAATGCATAAACGGAACTCAGTACTTCTCACATTATTACCAAAGTCCTAGGTAGTAACCTCCTCCAAAATGTCACCAAACTACCAGTTACCATATTCCAAAGATCAGCCAAAATATTTTTAAAAAATATTTCTAATTACAATAAACTGAAGCTCAGATATCAATGGAGCTCAGATTTGATGCAAAGCAAACTATGAGAATTTTTCCACACAGCTATAATATACTTTATTTTAAAACGACTCTAATATAAAACAACAAAGTTAACAATTCTATTTAATCACTTACTAATATGCTATATGTTTAACACATAAACAAAAACATATCCAACTTTAAACAACAATGTTGTTATAAATTATTTACTTCCATTTCAGGAGTACAATTGAAATTGTAACTACTTTAGTAGAGATCTTAATTTTCATATCTGATTAAAAGGAAAAAATAGTGTGTATAACAATTTCTGCCTCTAATAAAAAGATTAACTAAAAATCATGTATGTTACACTTTAACAAGTATATACATTACACATTTCACATATTTTAACACATTTATATCAGTTTCACTATATTTATATAGCTGTTCCAGATCAGAGCCATTGCTTATGAAACTACATCCCAGTAACCTCTGGACCCATGTTTACACAGATGGATCCATGATCGAGCGAGGTACTGGAGCTGGTACAGGAATCTATTGTAATCATTTTGCGTCGTAAAATACTAAAAGAGCCCACACCTTTGGCGACAAACTGGGAAAGTGCAGAATCACCCACTGCTTCGCACGTTCCTCAAAAATCGCCAACTTGAAAATAACAAGTCAAAAAATTACACAAACTCAGTGTCCATGTGCACATCGACCTATTGTCACTTCAAAATCATCCCAGAATTGCACAAACTTGGCATTGCACACACCCTTGACTTTATCCATGTACACATCGATACGCACCAAATAAGTGGGTGCACCATTTGCATTCTATAAGGCAGTGGGAAGAGATACTACCAATTTTGATCATGAAGTTGAGGCTATTGCTCTGAATCAATTAAGCACTCAAAAGAGTAATTTCCCTCAGGCTGTTATTTTGTCCGAAAACAAAGCTGCTTTACAGGCTATCTCCAACAATAAATTTTGCCCTTCCAAACAAATTTATGAATGTATGAAGATTCTCAAGAAGACTCGACTGTTTTGCAACGAATTCCTACTCATTGTGGCATCAAGGGAAATGAAAGCGCTGATTTTCTGGCAAAGGAAAGGAACAACTATTCTACATTTAAGTCTGCAAAATGCCTAATTAAATTAGAATTTCAGAGGAGGTTGCCTGCTACCTGGAAACGTCTCACTAGTTTAAAATCGGTTCTTCCAGATTTTCCTCATCCTGTAGATATGGCATTATTTCACCTTTTGATTGGACATGATTGTCTGAATGCCCATCTTTTTAAAATTTAAGGACTCTTCAGTCTGTACTCTATGTAACTCTGGACAGTCCATGGATAAAGAGCATACTGACAAATGCACTGCACTATTATTTTTAATTTTATTGTTCTTCAGTACTGGGAAGCAAGATCAAGATTAATGGCTTAGTGGCCAAATATCTCACATTTATACAATTAAATATACCTGTACCAGAAATTAAAAGTTATTCACTGTATTTCTTCCCCATTGATTAAAATTTGCTTTTTAGTAATATTGACCCTCAAAAATATTACACATTCATTTCAAGATTCTAATGAAATAAAATGTTAAATATAAAAACTTAGTAATGTAAGAAGACTTTTCAGCATACATCAAATACATGTTCATGCTTCAAAAAACTTTAAAATAAGTAAAAAAAATCCATTTAAAAATATATTAGAATGAAGAAAATTAAGGGGAAACGAAGAAATGGTCCTTTAAACAGAGCCTTTAGTTCACGTTACTGCTTTACATTCGAACACAATACATGTCAAACGCACGATTTCAAAATGATTCTATAACGATTCGCACGAATTACACTACTTACTAATTTACTCACATAAATAAATTAATACGTATTTATGACTATAAATTATTAAATACTGGACTTTCGAAAAATGAATTTTGCAGTTTTACTCACTGTAAGTGGCATACTGTTTCCCCAAAAGCACTTGCACAAGTTGCAACTAAATGCATTAACAGTTAGTAAACTGTTCAATATTCCTTAGTCTGTAGCGGTTATAAAAATACAGTGAACATGTTAAAATGCAGAATTTTAAGGTAAGCAAAGCATAAATGTTAAATTTAAGTAGCGCAAACACTTAACCTACTCCACAACCCTCTTACAATTACGTACGCATACATGCAAATTTGTGGTTGAAATACACGAGTGTGGAGAAAATCAAGATTAAAATACACCCAATAAGAAACTAAAGTGAGGTATTCCACGCAGTATGGAAAGCTCTAAATGAAATTAATTTAAAAAACACTAAACATACCATTTTTGCGATGAAATATATTTGCCGATTACAGAAAAGTAGGCGTATCAGAAATTAAAAGCCGGAAAAAAGGGATTTCCTAAACACCTCAATATAAACTCACGTTATTTGTTAAATATTTAAAATTTAGTGTCTGGTTTTATACACATTTCTTCCTCACAAACAAAGAAAGAAATATATTTATTCAAACGCTAAAACACGCAATCCCACAGATATCACCATATTCTAAAAATCACGGAATGAAAAAGCAATTGCAATAGACAGTCAAAAGATAGCGAAAATTTTCTTCTTCTTCTTCTAGTTTGTGAAGCTTGGCTTCCCTTCGGCGCCTTGTGCTCCTACACATGCTCAAAGAACTTTTTTATTATTATTATTTAATTGCAGGCGCATTCTCTCCACTCCAGAGAGAACGTCAGTCCTGTAAAAGTATTTAAGAATTCTGAATGTATTTGGTGATAAAAGGTGTTCACTAAAATCCGATTTCGCCAGGGATTCTTATTGCAGTGGCCAATCAAAATCGGCCATTATGTTTTATATCTCCCAGTTTCATTTTCCTTAATATTTCCCCTCTTGCTTCCTCATATTTCTTACAATGAATAATTACATGTTCCGTGCTCTCGATCAGTAAACAGTTATCACAATAAGGAGAGTCGGATCTTCGATATCTGTATCGGAGCTGTTTTGTATCTCTTCTAGCATCTGCAGTCTTGCTTTACTAATTGTGACTTCCAATTCTCCACTAATGTTTAGCCCTTTGCTCCACAGTTTATAAACATTACAGTAGCTAAACCCGCGCCCTATATAGGACGTAAGCCAGCTATTGGCATACTCATCTTTGATGGCCCCAGTGTCCTCACTGAGGCCATCAATTATGAATATGCCAATACGATGAGTGTCTCAGCTACTTGCATCCCCTACTGAGAGATCGTTTATCTTTTGGGCAGGTTCCCCTCGTGCCAGCTTATCAGCATATTCGTTCAGTCCTACGCCTCTATGACCTGGAACTCAAACGATACCAAGAGAGTGAAAAGCTTTCATCAAACCATACAACAAGGATGAGAGAATTTGACTTCCTATGAACACAATCAATAGCTTTAACTACTGACATGCTATCCGTGAGGTTAATGACTTTATCGCTCGTATTCAGTTTATCGAAAAGCTTCCAGAGGGCCCAGACCTCGGCAGAAAAAATAGAACTCCTGGTGCCGATGCGCTGATTAACAATCACTGCATCTCTGCCTATTGCTGCAATTCCAACCACGGCGTAAGACTTGGAAGCATCTGTTGCGAAAGCTTTGCAACCTCTCTTAATATAATCATCTATTACAAGGCTTGAACACTGTTGCACCTCCTTGTCCGGAATATGCTTGCTTTGAAACTCATACTCGTTTGTTTTTATTCTGAAATTAACTTCTTCAGAAAAGTCTTGCTCATTCGTGAAACTCATACTCGTTTGTTTTTATTCTGAAATCAGCTTCTTCAGAAAAGTCTTGCTCATTAGTATCCAAGTCAAATTTGAGCTCATCTTTGATATTCTGGCTGATGGACTTTCACAATCTGCCCTACTTATATTTTCAATTTCGTAGGCACTTTTGCAAATTAGTCGCAATCGGAGATACTTTGAAGAGAACAATATTTTTAATTAGGAATTTTGTAGCAACTATCCGCATCCTAATTTGTAGTGTGAATTCAACCGCTTCGACGTAGAGGAGAGGTAAAGGAGTACTGATCAATGCCCCCATGGCTAGTCCTAAAGCATGATTATAGAGTGAAAATTTTTTTTTTGTTCGCTTGCGAAGTAGACATGAGAAGGGAGCTACCTTATTCAATCCTTTCCCTTATAGTACCATTTGCGATTCTTATTAGATCAGTTTTCCTCGCGCCCCACTTTGGGCTGGCAACAAACTTAAACGCGTTTAACATCCTTTCCAATTTGGGGATGATTTTAATTACGTGAGTATTCCAGCTCAACTTATTACCGAACCACAATCCTAAAAATTTGAGCTCGTTTACCATTTAGATATTGATATCATTTAGGTTCAAAATACCCGAATCTCTACCTTTCTTTCCTCTGATGAAGATGGATTTACTTTTCTCCGGCGACATACATAAATTCCATTCATTGGCCCAACACTGCACCTTGATCAGGGCACGCTGCAGCTTGCTGAGAACCTTGGAGTGTGAACTGTCTGCGCAGTAGAGAAAGATGTCGTCTGCATACACGAAACATTGAACGTCAGGTGGAATGAGGTCATAGATGTCATGCATAAAAATGGTGAAAAGTACCGGTGATAAAATACTTCCCTGTGGGACACCACATGAAATCCCATAACTCTTCGATAGAACTCCTCTCCCCTTCACTCTTATAATTCTCTGATTTAAAAATTTTTTCATCCATAAGACGCTGTTCCCCTTGACTCCAAATTGCATTATTTTGTAAAGCAGACCATCAATCCAAGCCGAGTCAAAGGCAGCCTTGAGGTCAAGTGCAACCAACTGAATAACTTTATTTTGTTTCCTAGTGTTATGCTATCGATTTGTTAAGCAGAACATGCAACTTCTATTGATGAACCAGCATCTACAATTTTGTTAGCTATAGATTTTGTTAAGCAGAACAATGCAACTTCTATTAGGAAGGAACCCATAATGCTGATCTGAGAGTTTTCCACTTTCTTTAATCCTTAAAAGCAGTCTATTCAGTACCATTTTTTTCCATTACCTTGGCTAAAATTTATGTCAGAGAGATTGGCCAGTAGGCAGAAATCTCAGAACTGTCTCTTCCAGGTTTTAAAAAAGAAATCACTACTGCCTCTTTCCACTTCTTTAAGGATCTCACCCGAGTACCATGAGTTATTGCAAGCCTCCAGAAGGATACACTTGCTGTCTTCTTCTAAAGACGTAATGGCAGTCCTTGTGAGTCCATCCTCTCCTGGGGTAGAGTTAATGGCCTTGTCAAGTTCCATTCTAGAGAAAGACCTGTTAAAGCTACTGCTGTCATCTTCACTTAAATCCAGGGGCAGTTGTTTGTAGTTAGAGGCCTTTGTGTAATGTTTAGCAAACATATCACATTGCTCTTCAGCAATCCAGACATGGTCTTCTGACCGCTTCGGAACGACTGACATGGATTATCGTCCTCACGAAGGTTCCTTACTATCCTGTAGATATTACCATCCTTGCTGACGTGCATACAAATAGTCTTCCAGTGCTGCCTTTTTTTTTTACCTTAATGGCTCTTTTTAGATTAGCACTCCACTTCTTATAAGATATCCGTAGTTTCTTAGATAAGTAAATTTTGGCAAGTCTGAGATGTTGGCTTTTTTGTCCCAAAATAAAACTGCATCCAGCGTTCCACCATGGGCAGTTTCTGCGTTCTTTAACCACTTTAGTCATGTTTCGGTTTTTGACTTTACGCAAAATATTATTAATGTTATCTAAATTCCTATCATTTGGAAGAAAAGAACTGATATCATTTTTACTATCTGAACTATAACTCTTCCAATTGCAAAATTTGATAATCCTCTTATTACCATCTCCCGGGACATCGTTATCCACAACAGATATTCATCGGGTAATGATCACTGCTAAATGGGTCTTTGACTGTCTTCCAGATCGCAACTCCATACAAATCAGCTGAACATCAATACAAGATCAATGCTGGTTTCCACCCCGTTTGGGCATTGTGTAGGGCTCTCATTGATTAGTATGCAGAGGTTACTATTATTGCACCATCTAGGCAAAACTTTACCCCCTGCGGAGAGTTTATTCGAGTCCCAAGCAGGGTTATGCCAGTTGAAATCATCTAAAATTCGCTTAGAAGACGGGTGACCTAAGAATCGGCCAGAGCTGCAGTGTCTCAAAAAGACGGCTGTGGCCGAAATTTCAGCCAGAAAAATTCTTTCCCACCCCACTCATCAGGGTGCGGAGATAGTCATTGTCCGAATAACTCCCTTGCCACTTATGCCATGACCTTCGCGCCTCCCATCTGTGGGGCTTCGTAAATTCCTTTTCGTTTCCCTCAGCAGTGAAATCTTATCTCGGGACAAAATCTTTTAGTTGCGTCAAAGGATATCTGTTCTTCCTATATGTTCTTTGGTTGCGTTTCGCATGATTCATTTGCTTTCTAGACCATTGCACCTGGGATGTATCATATCAAATATATAAATTTGAAAATAACAAAAAAGGGGGAAAATGAATAACAAAATCTGAATGGTTTCAGATTTAAATTACGACTAAAGGGTCGTTTTTTTAACATTTTGTGTGTTATATTTCTTTATTAAATATCACGTTTTTTGCACTTAAACCATAAAATTCAGTTCAACAGCAATATCGCAAAATAGTTTCTTATTCGCAAATTTTTAAATATCGCAAAAATTTTTTCTTTACCACTTCTAAAAATTACGTAATTTTTAATGCCTCTTTCATGGCATGTTTTTAGAAATAATTCTGGCGGCCAGGGAGGACTGAACAATAGTTCTGGCCCTTGCCCAGTTTCACTGTTCCAATCCATTATGAATGCATTACAACTACCGTATAGATAAGAAGATTTTCAGATAGCTCTCTCGGAACTTTATTTACAGAAATTAAACTGCACAGTAAATGAATAAAGGTAACCTTACGTAATAGACTCCGAAAATGGGTATATCACGCCTCCAAGCACTTCCCACGTACGCACTCTAGCGAAAATTTTATCACACGGCAAACTCACGGTTCGACTGGTAACGATATTTCATCAAATACTGTAGGTAAATGATCAGAATACACTGTTAGAGGGAATTTACATGCCGGCAACAAGTAGAGATCATTGAGTCCGCAAGCAAATTTCGGATATAATCCCGATTTAAAAAAGAAAGTGCTTAAAGCAATATTAGTAAATACAGTAGAACATTTTATGCTCACATCGTCGTTATTATGTTATTTCTTAGCTGTGCAAATGTTATACTACTTTCAAAGGATTCCGAGGATGGACGCCAACGAGGTCGGACGTGTAACAGACACGCTCCCGCCAACTCAGCCAAATTCGGCGAAATTTTGTGTTTTGAACGAAACTTCAATGGATATTTCGGTCAAAACTGATGTTATTAATGATCAAAAACAGGATGATGTTCCCTCTGTGCAATGTGACGACAGATCTAGATTAATTGCAACGTTCTACGAACTGAAACAACAATATGAGGAGATACAACGACAAAAGCGAGGGAGGAAGCGGGCCTCAACGCCACTGGACGCCGCCGGCTTCGAACAACTCGACCGTGCTGGTAAAACTCTTTTCTTTAAAATAGACGAGATTGCAAATGGC